AATGCCCAGCCCACAGCCCTGCTGCTTGGCCCAGGCTGCTCCTCTGGCTTGTCTCAGCCAAAGATCTACCTCCTGCACATCCACTCCTCAGCCAGCTTACACTGAGATGGTGAACAAGCTCTCTGCTATCACCCCAAGGCTCCCCCTCCCTTTCCCAAACACTCCCAAACATTAATTCAGCTTTCACCATGAGCAGGCATCTCTTTTCTTATCCTCCCCAGGTGCCTCTTCCCACGCAAATTTAATTGTCCCTGCGATTCAGGGAGAAAAGAAAACTGCAGCTTTGTCCCAGACACCTGTGAAGAGCCTCTGAATACTTGGGTATCTTTATACACAAGGTGGCAGACGTGGCTGCAGTCTGCAGGAGCACAGGTAGGACACCTGAAATCCAGCAATTTGGGGTTAAAAAGCAACCACAGCACCTTGGACCTGCACATGGAGAAGCCTCGTGGCTTCATCCCCTGCAGTGTTTGAGTGAGGGGTGTTCAGACCACAGCTCCCCTGCTAACTGCATCTGGTGCTCTCTTCTACTGTGTAAATTCTTTCCAATTCCAGGATAAAATAAGGCTGAAGGAAGTGGAAGATGAGAAGACCTATCCCAAGAGTTTGACAGAGCCCTGACTGGGGCCAGTGAGAGCAGGAGGAAGGACAGGCTGCAATGGTGCCATGGCCTGGAGGCACCTGGGAGCTGCTGCCTGGCCAGCAGGGTAACTGAGATGAGCCCCCCAGCACAGACCTTTTAAAGGAACAAGCAGAGGTTTAGGAGCATGTTAGAAAGACTCTCCAGGAAGGGCTGGAGCTCCTGGAGGTCTGAACCCTGGTCACACTCTGCCTGGCAGGTCCTGCAGGCTTGGTGTGCCAGCCCTGCCTGAACCACCTCTCCACTTATTGCTTAAACAGAAACTTTGCTTCGTACTCACATAGTTCCCCTAACGAAGACACCCAAAAGGAAGGGAAGCTACAAAGGGTGGCACTCAGCACTGTGTACACAAACGTGCCAGAAACTGCACCTTGGCCAAGCCTTCTCCTCTGGCTCTTCCCAGCTCACATCACCCTGGGAGGGACCACAGCAAACACTGCCGGACTCCTCTGATATTTCTGGCTCAGCAAACAAGCGTTGGGACATGGTGGTGGTGCTCACTGGGCTGGGATCTGGGCTTGGCTGAGAGGGTTCAGCAAGGAAAGAGCAATTCCAGCACCCTACTTCTTGCCCATACTTTTAACTCCTGTGCTGTACG